AAGGGCCTTAAGCAGGGCGGCGCGGCTGCCGTCGTGAGAGAGAGAGAGAGAGAGGAGATGGCAAAGAAAAGGCGCGTAAGCAAGTGGCACGTGCTGCCCGTACCAATCGGGTAGGGGGTCAGCAGGTAAGGACGTTTGGGGTGTGCTCGACAGATGGAACAATCGACGTGGGGCTCGCACGCATCATTTGTTCACCAACTTTTGGCCAGTTTTCGACCCAGCCGTGCAGCAGTTGCTCCGCTCTCGCCCCTTGGAGGCACCTCGTCCATCGAACGGGATGGCTCGTCTGATTGCGGCGCCGATCTTAAGTCGGGCCTGTCCGAATACAGGGGGAATATTCAACATAGGTTAAACAATAGTCAGAGGACGATTTTGTAAGTATTTGTTTTGACAATTTTTAGTTTTCTTGGGGTGTTTTATTCTTTCGTCCAAAATCCGCCTGTGGGGGGACAGGCCCGATCTAACGCTAATCCTGAACGCGGTCGCTTCGACTCTCACGGCTACGTTCTGTGGATTTGTGTGGGCAGTCACTCCGCGAACCTGCGCGGCTCCACGCGCGAGGTGTCTGTGAGCAAGAATTAAGTCGGGTCTGTCCCTCTACAGACAGGAGGGAGATTCAAAAATAGTCAAACGTAGTCTGCGGACGTTTTTTGTTTGTTTGTTGTAAAAACAGCACCTGTTTTGGGGGGGCAATGTTTGAATCTTTGTTGGATTTTGTTTTCTGAACACAATTTTTCCCACAATCCCCCTGTAGGGGGACACGCCCGTCGCAAAGCCAGAACCTCTTCGACTCTTCAGGCGGGGCTGGAGGCAAGCTCCCCGCTTGCAAGATCAAGGATCCCAAAGACGTGGCCGAGACAGCCGGTACACATTGCCGGGCGCAGTGCTCGAGGCTGCGGGGCCAGAAGGCATGGCACGAACTATCTGGCCGTCGAGCTCGCGCGGCACAGGGCTGCCGGGAGGAAGGCGTGTACGAGATGTCGCGGCCCATGATCGCCTAGCGCGGGGGTATCGCGATTAGCGGGCACGGGTGCGAGATTTCGGGGCACTTGTGACCATGGGGGTGCTGCATGCAAGCGCTGGCTGAGCAGCAAGCTGAGGCCTACCCGACGCTCTCCGACCAGGTGGCGGCAGCTAGGCCGACGCCTCTGTGCTGGCTCTGTCAGGTCCGTCGAGGCGCGAGATGACCGTGAGGAGTCCCAGGCGGCCGTGCGCCAGTCTACGAATGTTTTCAATGACATGTAACTGTGCCCCCGCCAGGTGTTCGTAGGAATTCGTTTCCACACTTCGAAATAACACTGATGACAGCGTAGCGGCCGGAAGTGCTGATGGTACCATTGCCTACTGTTTAGTGACGTTCACGGTGCTTATCGGCGCTCGGCTCGTGGACGCAATGGCGCGACCCCAGAGAAGGAAACAAAACCATAATTCAGCACGCACGCGTTTCCGCGCAAGTGCCGCTTGCTTTGGAGAAGGTCGCTGGATGTCGGCGTCGAACCCGGGAGGGAAGTGTGCGAGGGGGCAGGCCCTCTGAGAAGGCCTGCCCCCTCGTCCCTCCTCCTCCTCCTCCTCCTCCTCCTCCTTCGCCTCCTCCTCCTCCTCCTCCTCCTCCTCCTCCGCCTCCTCCTCCTCCTCCTCCTCGTCCTCCCCCCCTTCGTCGCCGCCGAGGGTGTACCGCAGGCTCTCGGTGCGGGCGTCCGCGCCTGTTCTGGTACGGGCGGGGCGTCCGTTGAATGAGAGTTCTCCCCGGGAGGCCGCAGGCCCTCGAGGGTTCCTCATCCGATGAGGGCGGCGGTGATGTCCACGGCCAGTCCACGACTGGAGGTCCACCGGCTTCCGGTGCTGCGCATCACAACGGGCGTACCGAGGCAGCCTCAGGAGGAGGGCGGGGGGAAGAAGAGGAAGAGGGGCAGGGACGAGAGAGGAGGAGGAGCAGGAGGAGCAGGAGGAGGAGCAGGAGGAGGAGGAGCAGGAGGAGGAGGAGGAGGAGGAGGAGGAGGAGGAGGAAGAAGACGAGGATGATGAGGCTCTGGATCCCTTGTCCAAGGCTTCCCTGTCCAGTGCCTCCACCGCAGCTGGAAGGGCGCCCGAGCAGTACCCCTCGACGATCTCGGCTGGGCAGCGCGTGCCGTCTGCATTGCCAGCGGGGGCGGCCCGCGGAGCAGGCAGGATCTCGACACACGACTTCGTCGTCGTCCTCGTACTCATTCGCCCTCGCCTCCTCCTCTCGTTTCATGCCCATGTCTCGCGCTCTCTCTCTCTCTCTTTATCTCTCTCTCTCTCTTTTTTTTGTTCTCTCTCTCTCTCTCTCTTTTTTGTTTCTCTTTATCTCTCTCGTTCTCTCTCTCACCCTTGGTCGCCTTACCGTTCTTCCGTTCTTTGTCGTGCTGCGCTGAACGTTGTGCGCCCGTGGTGTTGTTTTCATTTCCCTATGCTCCTTAACCCCGTCCCACGCGCCTCCTCTCACGCACCAGGCGGCACAAAAGAATGCAGGGTCGAGCGGCTCCTCGCGAAGGCCAAAGAGGCCCGGGGGGGGCGGGGAGGTTGGACGAGCAAGGGCGACTTGTCAGAGACCTCCTGTGACTCCCACCGTCTTGGCGTGTTGAGGATGCGTATCTGGACGCCAGATGTACGAGCCCTGTTGTGGTGGCGGTGATGCTGATGCTACTTGTGGTGGTAATGACGATGGCGACGACGATAACGGTGATGATGCTGCTGCTGATGATGATGGTGGTGATGAGGATGATGGTGATGGTGATGGCGATGGCGATGGCGATGGTGATGGTGATGACGATGGTGATGGTGATGGTGATGGTGATGTTGGTGGTGATGGTGATGATAATGCTGATGCTGATGCTGCTGCTGATGGTTGTGATGCTGCTGCTGCTGCTGCTGATGATGATGATGATGATGATGGTGACGGTGGTAGAGATGACGATGCTAATAACCATATGATGGTACTGATAGTTATGCTGATGATGCTGATGATGATTATGATGATGATGATGATGATGATGATGACAATGATTATGCTGATGATGATGATGACGATGCTGACGATGATGACGATGGAGGTGGTGGTGGTGGTAGTGGTGGTGGTGGTGATGATGATGCTGCTGATGATGATGATGATGACGACTATGATGTAGACGGCGATGATGACGATGGTGGTGGTTCTGGTGGTGGTTGTGATGGTGAGGATGATAATCGCGATGAGGAGCACCAGTCGTGGCGTCGTTGGATGACAGCCGTGACGCCAGTGGCCGCGAGCGCGGTGACGACGTGGCCGATGACTCAGGAGGATCACGAGGAGGATCCTAACATGGGGCAAGGAGGATAACGAGGAGGATAACGAGGAGGATAACGAGGAGGCCGTTAACGAGGGAGCTCCCTGGGCGAGGTGGTGCCGGGGGACGGCGCGGCACCGCGCCGGGGGCCGCGCCCGGGGGCAAGAGCCGCGGGCCCAGCGGGGCCGCCCGCCGGGGGCGCGGAGATGCTCGCTCTCGTCCAGCGTCGCGCGGCCCGGGCAGGTGGGCTGCACCTGCTCCTTCGGCAGCAGATCATGGGAGTCTGGTATATCGGGGGCGGCAAAGAGGGGGGTGATGACTAGGGGGGGTGGATATCATGGCGGGGGCCATGATATCTCCCCAGATTTCATGGCGCCCCTTCTTATTTCAATACGTCCTCGCCCCACCCCCCTGGGCCGCGCACATGCCGCCGGCCATGATTTGCGCCCCCCCCTCTTGGACACGCCCCTCTTGGCCGCCCCCGAGTATACCCCCTCAATTCCGTCTTCAGCGTCGAGTAGCGTCGATGAGCGTCTGGGGGTCGATGAGGCAGCGCCGATTTAGCGCGTCGGCTGGCGTCGACGCAGCGTCGACTCAGCGTCGGCTAGCGTCGGTTCGCAAGAGCGGACAAGATGGTATGGGAGGCTCCCATGAGTTGCCAGCGAATGCTCCAGGGTGGCCGCGCGAGAGCGCGGAGAGAGTTCGCACCTCGCGCGGCGCAGCGCCCTGTTCAGAGGCCGCCACCCTCCCGTCCCGACCCGATGCCCCTCCACATCAGTCTCTGCAGGCATTTTTTAGTCACTGCGCGAAGCGTCCCATGGACAGACGAGCACATCGTGGGCGCGCCATGCAAGCGGGAGCTCCGTTCTGGGAAGAAGCCGTGGCAAGGTGGGGTTTTAACGTCCGCAGGCGTGCACAGCGGCAGTCCCGCTTTGAAGAGGAGCCGCCATCCATCCGTGCAGCTGATGCACATTCTCACTGCCAGCCACCAAGTCGAGCGAAGTCTCAGGTGAGAGCCCCGATGAAGAAAGGAACCGCCCTACAATGAATATGGGTGGCGCTAAGCGAGAGCGACATTTCGAACACGTACTAGCCTCCATCCGTGTAATTGCTGGGAGTTTTCAGGGCGAGTATACACGGCGCCCAGGCGAGAGCCACATCTTGAAAAGGTACCGCCCTCCACTCGTGTAAGTGTTGGAATTTCAAGCTTCGGGATCGCAACCTGTCAGGTCTGAAGCGGAGCGCCCAGCCCGGGCTACGAGCACGTCTGGTGGTGCAGCAGGAAGGAGTTGACCATACGGTCGGACCGAGGTATAAGATCGAGGTCGATGCGGGGAGGGTACCCTAATGTTCTTTGTGTTTGTTGGGTGTTCTTGTGCATCCTGGGGGAGGGCACCCTTGGATGTTCTGTAGGTTTCGGTCGGCGCGGAGGGCCTCGTGTTCCTGAGGGACTTTCTGCTGTCCTAGGTCCGACCGTGAGAGAGAGAGGGATGGAGGAGGAGGGGGAGGAGGAGGAGGGGGAGGGGGAGGAGCAGGGGGAGGAGGAGGAGGTGAGGAGGAGGGGGAGGAGGGATGAGGAGGAGGAGGAGGGGGAGGAGGTGTCCTAGAGAGGGATGGAGGAGGGGGATGAGGAGGAGGAGGAGGCGGTGAGGACGAGGGAGGCACGAAGGCGGACAGGTCTCTCCAGGGCGGGAGCGGGCAGGCCTCGTCCGCAGCCTCCTCTGCTCCAGCCGAAAACAGGCTCGCGCGGGAGGCGCCTCCGCCGACCGGTGCTGCGCGGCCCGGGGCGCCGGCATGGGCTGCGATGGACCGGTTCGAGAAGGCGACTGGCGGCGGGCGCGGAGGGGGGAGGAGGAGGAGAGCGAGGGGGGGAAGTTTCGAGTCCGGGGTTCGAGGTTTTCGGAGGGTTTCGTCGGTTCTCGACGGTTTTCCAGCCTCGGGATGCGTGCCAGCGGCTCTGCGCCTCGGCGAGAGCGTTCCAGGGGTGCCGGGACCGTCCCGAACGGCCGCCGGAGAGCCGAGATATGACCCCCAAACCATCAGGAGTCCGGGAAGGAGAAGGCCTTCTCAGAAGGCGGCGGGGCTTCTCAGGAGCCCTCGCGCCTTCTGAGGCGTTTGCCGTGTCGTCGGAGCAGGCTTCGAAGACTTCTCAGAAGGCTGGTGGACGGACTTCCGAGCCTTCTGAGAAGGCCCGCCCCTCCTCACGTCCGCCCGGCTCGCCGCCGAGGTGAAGGATCTGGGGCGCGGTGCCTTCGGTGTCGCGATCCTCTGTCGAGAGAAGCGGAGCCCCAGGGCGCAGACCTCATGTGAGGATGCGCCCCTGCGCGTCATCAAGCAGATCGACCTGGCCGGGATGAGGCCCGAGGCGGTGCGGGAGTCCCTGACCGAGGTCGAGGTGTTGCGCCGCTTCTCGCACCCGCACATTGTGCAGTCTCAGGACGCATTTCTTGAGGGGCAGAAGCTGCATATCGTCATGGAGTACCTCGACGGCGGGGACTTGGCATGCGCCATCAAGCGGCACAAGGAAGACGAGGCTCCGTTCGCTGAGGACGACGCGCTGTCGATATTCATGCAGTGCCTCCTGGCTTTGCAGCACCTGCACAAGCAGAATGTGCTGCATCGGGACATCAAGCCCCCGAACATCTTCCTGACTCAGGATGGTGCAGTTAAGCTCGGCGACTTCGGTATTGCCAAGGTGCTGGAGACCACAGCAGTCCAGGCGAAGACGACCATTGGCACGCCGAGCTACTTCGCCCCAGAGGTGTGCCAGAGCGTGCCCTACGGCAGCAAGGCCGACATGTGGTCGGTCGGCGTCGTGCTGTACGAGATCCTCGCTCTCCGCCAGCCCTTCCAGGCCTCGAACATCGCCGCCCTCGTGCTCAAGATAGTCACCGCTCCGCCAGACCCGCTGCCTGCCACCTACGACGAGAGCCTGCGCGCCATCATCCTCAGCATGCTGAACAAGAGCCCGGACGAGAGGCCCAGCGCCCAGGAGCTCCTCAACGAGAAGCTCCTCCGGCACCGCGGCCTCGACCTCCTGGGCGGCCGCTTGCGGCCCGGCACCCGCGGCGCTACCGCCGCCGGCCGCTTGAGCACCGGCGCAAGCCGCTGCAGCACCGGCTCCGCGGGCGCCGGCTGGTCCAAGGCCGGGGCGCGGCCGCCCTCCGGCCTCCGCCGCAGCGGCGGCTCCGCCGGCGCGCTGGCCGCCTCTGGGCTGGCGGAGCCCTCGCCGGGCGCCGCCGCGCCCGCTGCCGCGCTGGCGGGGAAGCCCGACGCCGTGGACATCCTGGTGCTGACCCAGGGGCCGGCGTCGGGCGGCCTCGCGGAGGAGCTGCAGCACAACAGGGAGGTGGCCCGGCGGGCCAAGGAGAAGTCGATGGGCACGCCCACCGGCAGCTCCATCTTCGTCGCTGCGCCGCCGGCGCACGGGAGCCCTCCGGCAGTGAGGGGGCGGGACAAGATGGTCACCCTGCAGAGGAAGAGCCGGCTGGACGACCTCGGCCTGAGGTTCGCGGGGGACGACAGCGAGAGCGTCCTGCGGATCTGCGGCGTGGTGGCTGGCGGCATCGCCCACCTGCACAACTGGCAGGCGAGCGCCAGGCACCAGATTGCTCTGGGAGACTGCGTCATCGAGGTGAACGGCTCGCGGGGCAGCGCCGCGAGCATGGCCCGCGAGCTGGACAGAAAGATGGTCCTGGACTTGGTGCTGCGGCCTTCCGAGGCGCCAGGCCCGTGCTCGGACTTGCGCGCCGCCAGCACCCCGCCAGGCTCGGTGCAGGCCCCCAGCTGCAGTGCCGCAGGCCAGCAGGGGTCGGCGCCCTCGCGCCCTCCCCTGTCGCCCGAGCTCGCCACGCAGGGCGCGCGCGCATGCGCTTCCAACGCCCCCGCCCGGTCGGGCTCGGCGCTGGCGCGGACGGGAGGGCTGATCGCGCGGCTCCCTTCTCCGAGCCTGGGACACCACGAGGGGGCCGCCGCGGCGCAGCCCGCCGCCGACGCGTCCTTTGGAGCGCCGCCGCGCAGCGCCGGCAGCGCGGGCTCTCGACCAGGCTCGAGCAGCCGCCCAGGCTCCAGCGGCCGCCCTGGCTCCAGTGGGCGCCCGGGCTCCACTGGCCGCCCAGGCTCCAGGCCCCCCGCCTCGCAGCGGGCCGCCGCGTCGATCGCCATGCTGGCCGAGGGCCGAGGCGCGGGCGCGGAGCCCGGGAGAGCCGTGGCGACGGGCAGGGCCACGCCTGCGAGGCAGAGTGGCGGCCGGGAGGTGCCCACGGCTTCTGCTGTGGCCAGCGCACGAAGCTGGCGCGCCCCCAGCGGCGGGCCTGCTCGGACGAGGTACGGCAGCTGCGCGCCCGCGGAGAGGGCGGCCTCCGCAGCGCCGGCGGCGGGCCGCGACTGGCAAGCTCCGGCGTGGGCCGTGAGCATGGCGAACGCGCCGCTGGACAGGCCTCTCTTCAAGCGCGACGGCGGCCCGGTGGGCGAGGAGGGCCTGGAGAGCCTCGGCGAGCTGCGTGAGCAGATAGCGCGCCTGGCCGACGCCGGCGGCCGCAGAGCCAGCACCGGCGAGAGGCCCGCCGTCGGCAGCGCCAGCGGCGGGCCCCCCACGAGCGGCAGCGGCGGCCGCCCCGAGCTGCACGGTCCGCAGGAGGCCACGGCCGAGGTCACCGCTGACCCCGCGCAGGCCGAGGGCCGGGGGCGTGGCCCCTGCGACACCGACACCTGGAGCGGTGCGGTCCTGGCGGCGCCGCTGGAGCGGGCCGCTGGGAGCGCGAGCAAGAAAATGGGCCTGGCGAAGAACCCAACCATGTTGCAGTTGTGAGTACCACGGTTGTGGGTATCGTCTTCCGTGGAGCTCTCTCTGGGGCCACGAAACGCAGTACTGTGCGGGAGAACCGCATGCGAGTTCCGCCACTGAGTCCTTCGGTGGAGCTCCCTCTGGGGCCACGAAACCTTGTACTGGGCGGGGGAACCGCATGCGAGTTTCGCAACTGGGACCTTCGATTGAGCTCCCTATGGGGCCAAGAAGCGCTGTACTGGGCGCAGGAACCGCATGCGAGTTCCGCCACAGGGACCTTATGGGGCCAAGAAGCGCTGAACTGGGCGCAGGAACCGCATGCGGGCTGCGCCACTGGGACCTTCGGTGGAGCTCCCTATCAGGCCACGAAGCGTTGTACTGGGTGGGGGAGCCGCATGCGAGCTGCGCCACTGGGACCTTCTGTGGAGCTCCCTACGGGGCGACGAAAGACAGCACTGGGCGCAGGAACCGCATGCGGGCTGCGCCACTGGGACCTTCGGTGGAGCTCCCTCTGGGGCCACGAAACGTTGTACCGGGCGCAGGAACCGCATGCGGACTGCGCCACTGGGACCTTCGGTGGAGCCCCCTCTGGGGCCACGAAACGTTGTACTGGGCGGGGGGAGGCATGGATGAGGGAGGAGGGAGGAGGGAGGAGGGAGGAGGGAGGAGGGAGGAGGGAGGAGGGAGGAGGGAGGAGGGGAGGAGGAGGAGGGAGGAGGAGGAGGAGGGAGGAGGGAGGGAGGAGGGAGGAGGGAGGAGGGAGGAGGGAGGAGGGAGGAGGGAGGAGGGAGGAGGGCGGAGGGAGGAGGGAGGAGGGAGGAGGGAGGAGGGAGGAGGAGGAGGAGGAGGGAGGAGGGAGGAGGGAGGAGGGAGGAGGGAGGAAGGGAGGAGGGAGGAGGGAGGAGGGAGGAGGGAGGGAGGGAGGAGGGAGGAGGGAGGGGGAGGAGGGAGGAGGGAGGAGGGAGGAGGGAGGAGGGAGGAGGGAGGAGGGAGGAGGGAGGGCGCAGGGAGGGAGGGAGGGAGGGAGGGAGGGAGGGAGGGAGGGAGGGAGGGAGGGAGGGAGGGAGGGAGGGAGGGAGGGAATGGGAATGGGAATGTCTGTTCACTAAGTGAAAAAAAAAAAAGGAGGAAAAAAGCCTTATCCCAGGGAAGTATCCTTCCGAGCAGAGGCCAGCCGATTCTGTTGTTCGGTCTTACTCAACACTTTAGGTTGAAGGCCCAGCTCTATTCTACGAAGGTACTCGGTTCCCGTGGGTGAGGCCTTAAGACTACACTCTTTGTGAAGGTTACACTTCCTCTGACTGGCACAACTACCGCAGACATGACAGAACCATAACTGAAGCTTAGTACATAGTCTCATACTGTGGCTCTTATGGACCCAGCCCCCCCCTATGTGAATATTGTCTTCAGCCCCGAGGGTGAAAAAAGAACCGTTTATATTCACAGGGTGAAAACACGGGCTGGCCTTCCAGAGGCCTGCGGTGGCCAGGGAGGCAGTACCAAAACACCTGGTGCAGCTCTTGCCGCTCTCCGACAAAACATGGGAGGTAGTGAAATTAACTACAACTGACTTAGCAGGAGGTGGGGGAGGAGGAGGGAGACGCTTTCCTCTCAAATGTCCAGCTCCTGCACGTACACTGTCCAGAGCAGCATGCAGTAGCCGATGTCTGAGAAGGTACGTTTCATTCTCCAGAACCTGTATACGATGTCGAACTCCTGAATCCAATCGAACTTCCTGCGCCATCAGTCCCACAATCTCATCGATCACTGTGTTGCCAATGATCTGCCACGCTGGGACACGACTTGAAACCATCTGCTCAGCCCCTTGGTGGGAATGTACAAATATAACTTCGATAAGTGATGCACTCTTAGTCTGAAGAATCTGACCAATCATCGCCCAGATGTCAGCATCCTCCCCCTTGGGGTTGAGATACAGCTGGGCGTTCCATCCTTTGAATACATTCTCGCAGTCTGTGATGAATTGCGTATGTCCACGACATGTGAATACACAGAGCCAGAACGCCTTGAGTTCACCTCTCGCAACTGTCTGCCTCAGACCTGCGAGCCCTCCAGCAATTGAACATACAATAATAGTATCATCTAATACCTGGTTGACGACTGCGATGCCGAGCGCTACTCGGCGCAGTCGGGGGTCCGCAGTGTCTGGGCCCCCGCTGGCATCTCCAAAAACTCGCGTCGGTGCACGTTCAGATCCTGCTGGTAAACAATCCGCTGTGAAACCATGACTGAGCCCTTCCACCTGCCAATCATCTGCAAACTGTGGGGACGGTGTGTCAGTCCACGCCAGCGGGATGAGGCCTCGGTACCAATAACATGGTTGAGACTCACCTTGACTAGATGCACGAGGGATCATGAAATCGCTCTTGTCATACACAGGGTTGTCTTTGTTAGAGCAACATAACCATGATCTGTGCAAAGAAGTCTCTTCATGCTCCTTACACCTGTCACAAATACCATTCAAGCTCGGGTCCTGGACCGACTGCAAGGGTTTCAACTCAGCCTTCTTCCTTGCTTTGGTCCAGGCTCCTCCGATAGCAATGTTGAGCAACAATCCAGCCAACCGCCTCCCTTTTCCAGGGATACTATTGAGTTGTTTGAGCAATCTGCGATATGAATAGCTGTCGGTTCCATCTTGAAGTCCTTCACCCTCGTGATGTTTGCAAGCGCTGATCCAGAATGGTTTCATCGCCGCCGCACGAAGATCAACATAGAATTCCTTGAAACTAGCCTCATCTATCGCCTCAACGCCCGTGAAGTTCTCGTCGGGGAATTCCCATGCTGTCATGCCTGGGGGGTCCCACGCTGTCGGTGAGCGAGGAATCCAACCAATCCCTAATAGATGACACAGTACTGCAGAAAGAGGTCCTCGTATATACCTTGATCTCTGCGCTTGAGGTATAGCTTCCAATTTCTGGCGAAGACGAGGCCATGATCGAATGATGCCCGCTCGGGACTCGGGCCGTGTACGCCAGTTGTGCAGCCACAGCGCGAAGGTACCTTGAATGAAACGTGCTGCGGGGTCTTGGCCGTGAGCCTCCAACTCGAGAAGTGTCGTGAGACACCGTCCCTTGCCCCGCGCATTACAAGCAGCGCCCAGTCGACGTCGATATCGAGTGAGCTCCTGTCCACATACTCCGAAGATCTCATATCCATAACTACCTGCAGCTTGGGCGCCCTGGCGCTCCAGTCGAGAAGTAATCGCTGTCCTACGAATAACCTTCTTGTACTTGACCACCTTCCTGTGACGATTGAGGTGCCGTGCAGCACGCTTCCGTCGTTCAGCTCGAGAATGCCTAACTCCTGCTCCCAGGTCGACGCCCAGGTAGCTGGTAGATCTGGCCGCCGTCATTGTGATCCCCCGAAGTCTCAAGGTTCGAACCACATCCCTGGCCAGACTCAACTTGGTGCAGACCACTGTCGACTTAGATGCCACCTTGAGACCCTGACTGTGGAGGCCTCTGGCGGTCGCAGCCACGCACTGAACTAAATCCTTCTTGACCTGGGACTCCGACCCCATCGTGGTCTGCGAGATATCGTCTATCCAGAGTCGGTGCGAGCACCGAACTTGCGATGTGGTGATCACCTCCATGATGAAAAATGTCATCGCTCTGGCCAGTCTAGTACCAGCTCGCAAGCCTTGAATGATACTACATGTCGGCTCGAACGCCATCGAAAATGAACCAATCTGATTGAGTGTGCGCGGATGGGCGCATTGTAATAGCTCCATGTACAAGATCGTGGGTGGGAAGCCCAGTCTGAGGGCCGCTCTGGAAAGCTTGAGCCATAGCATATTATCGTAGTAGCCGTCAATGTCGGTGAGGGCGTGTCCATACGATACATTGAGGATACCCGCGACCTCCTCATCCAAGGCTCTCCTGAAAGCCTCCCTCAAGGACGAGTTCCCACGGACCGCTGCGTCCCACGAAGGCTCAGTCCGACTGGACCACGCCTTGGACCAGGGCTCCCTGGACATACTCCATACCCTGGATAACATCGTGATGAGCCCGATCACCCTGTCTCCCGAAATCTTTTTGGGTAGAAGTCGACCGATGACTATCATTGTCTGCACTGGCCAGGCGAGGAACTCCTCGGCTGTGTTGAATAGGGTAGCTAATTCAGCAACTCCTGCATCTGGGAGTCGCTCGATATCACATGGTGTGAGTTGGTCCGCTCCAAGACCAGCACGAGGTTTCATGGCTCTGAGAGCCTTGCGAACTTCAGGGACACCCAATTCTGGAAGAGGATCGGGATCATCTCTGACTGCCTGCCTAACAATACCCAAGACGTGGATGATGGACTCGTGAGGCTCGGATAACTTCGGGGCCCATTTACGTTTCCAAGTAGACGTCTTGTGATCCACAATATCTTTAGGATGATGTAGTATATTGGTACCATCGAAGACCTCCAAAGTGGGGACGGGGTCCTGACGCATGGCCCTGTGGAGAGCACCCAGAGAGTTCCCCGTGATGGCCCAGTCCTGGAATTCACGAAGAGAGGCATGGAGGGCTCTCCTTTGACTGGCACGCATGACTTTAGCCGAGTACTGGGAAAACAAAGCAAGGTGCATGATCGAACACTTGTCGACGGACGCGAGAATGTTTAGCCATTCAGACCAGGGTGGAACCAAGCACGCACTGACACAAGTGTGGACCTGATCGGGCCGATCTTCAAGGAGGCGTCGACATTCTCGCTCCAGACGTGCTCGCTGCGACACACCGTTGTTCCTTGAGCGATGCTTATGCAAGGAATCTAAAATAGTGTGCAGTCTCGTCCACCAGCCTGCCGCTTGATCTCGCAGTGGTGTCGATCTGCATCTGTTCGAAACTCGCACCTGCTGCAATTCAAAAGTCGGCACCTGAGCTCTCAGTGCTCCCTGGTTGGCTTCGCATCCATGGTGAGCTCGAATGGTGTTCTCAACTGTGGTCACCCAGGAGGCATACATCCCACTAATCATCAGGGTCTTTTCAGGGTCCACCTGGAAGGCTCTGGAGTCCTTGATGTACGCGGGGACGTGGAGTTGAGAGGAGGAGGAGAAGCCTACTTCCTGCCTATGCCTTTCCCAAAGGGCCTCAGGAATCATATAGCTAATGGTGCTGGGGCCTCGGGGCGCGGGGGGCTGGGTCGACGCCGAACAAGGGTCTTGGCTGCTGCTAGGCTCGGCCTCGGCCCCATCGGGATCACAGGGCCACGGCACACAACCGGCAACGGAACCCCCACCAGGCTTCCGCAGAGACCCCGCGGGGACGGCGCGACCGCCAGCTTCCACCGAGACAGAACTAGCAGCGCCATTAAAATCAGAAGGAGGCGTGGGAGGGAGGGCATCTGAGCCCTTCTTCTCCTCCAAGGCAAAATTAAGTTCGTCCGCCCAAGGATCCTCCTCCGAGCAGACTGAGAGGTCATCGTGAAACATGTCTGAACTAACGGCATTTTGCTGGGGCTCTGGGCTCTCAGGCGTGCCTGTGTCAGGAGGCTGCTGACGGCCCTTGGTCTTGACCTCATCGATGGCTGAGAAGACCTCCCCAAAAAGAAGCTCATACAATTCCTCTCGCTTGGTCGCAGTAGCTCGAGAACGTTCCTTGCGCTCAGCTCTCTCACGACTGGCCTTGGAATTGGGATCAGGCTCATGACCAGGTCTCGGTAGTTGAGGTAATTTCGCAGCCAATGTCAACACTCGTGTTATGAGCTGCTCCCCTTTATCCCGCAACTTGAGACGTAGGCCGATGTGCGTTTTCCATGGAACTGCAAGCTCAGGTTCCACAGAATGAATGAAAGAAAGAGCTGATGTACTGCACACCACAAAGTCGATGTGCGAGCCCTTCTCCCCCTTGTTGCATGTGTAGTCCACATTGGCCGTAAGAATGTGGCCTCCTATCCGTGAAACAAACTCTGCCTTGTTGATCGCTGCAGCGCTGATGTTGAAGTCAGCTACCACCACCCATGGAAGTTGCAGCGCATATAGCAAAGCCCCTAGACGGCGGTACCGCTTGATGTTCGGGCCCGTGAACCCGTAGGAGCAGTAGCCGTAGAAGGTCACCAGCACAAAGGAGTAGCCCTTCATGTGGACCAGGACCGCACAGAAGCCATCGTTGGACTGCGACCCGTCGCTCTGCAGCATGGGCGCTGAGGCCAGACTCAGGGAATGAACTCGAAGATGCCCGTGAGTGATGATCCACTCGCCCCCTTCGTTGGCATGCCCATTGTCTAACTCTCTAGCATCCTTCCTGCTCGGCCTTGCTGGGTTGCAGAACAGCTTGAGCCCTTCGGCTCTAGCCTTGACATCCCAAGATTTGATATCTGCTCGACCAATGTGCGTCTCTACGAAACAGTAGTGCTGGATGGAAGCTTTCGTCTGGGTGACGTGATTCCAGATCTTATCTCCCATGCACGTAATATTGCCAAAAAGAATTGTAGTGAAACTCGCTGCATCATCCCCGACGTCTGGCGGCCCAGCTGGGGTTCCTCGCGAGGACGAGACATCAGCAGCTTCAGGTGTCATAGATGAGGCTGGCCAGGTAGGAGAGGTCACTGTGCTCCCCGACGCTCTGGCTGTAATCGTCGGAGAGCGGGACCTGCTGTCGGGTCACGCGGAGTCGGGGGCACCGACTCCCTTGCCAAGCCCATCCTTGGCGCCAGCCTTACCCTTGCCCAAGCCCATGCCCTTGGCCTGCTGGGCTGCTGCGAACTTGGCCCTCGAGAGCCGCTTCGCCTCCTCAAGAATACGCTTCTCCATCGCCGCCTCATCTGCTGCCTTCTGCTCCTGCGAAGCCTCGGTGGTTGCAGTCGCGTCAGCAGCACCGTCGCCCTTAGTATTGTCAGTATCACCACCACCTGTTGCTTTTGCCGAACCATCATCACTGCGCCGCTTCTTGAGCATGCGCTCCTTGATAGATTGCCGTAGTTCCTCAGCCCGTGTCAACCAAGCCTGGACCTGGTCTTCCTTGGTCTTCAGCGTGTCACGAGCACTGAGCAAATCTTTCTCGAGCTGGGCCAACGCATCTTTCTCGGCCTGCTCGCAATCCATCTGCTCGATATTGCTGAAAAGTGTCGGGTCCCAAGATAAGTTGAACAAGGACTTGCCATTCTTGGCTCCATCCGTTGGTAAGACGCCCTCAGACGAAGCCAGACGCTGAGCAGCTTGCATCTTGTCGATCGTGGCTCGGGCCAAAACCTTGGCCGCCTCTGACTCTCTGATCTCTGCCGCCTCCAGCCTCTCGCGGAGACGTCGGACAGCCATGACCGCCTGCTCGTGCTTGGTGTCGGCATCCTTCCATGCAGAATGCGTCTGACGCACGAGCTCCGCTGGTGAAATGCTTGCATCTGGACACAGCGCAGACTCAGTCAACTTCTTGAGCTGCTTCTCTAAAGTAAGCTTCATGTCATCATCCGTGGACTGGGCGATGGCCGCCTTGAGACTATCCACCAACGTGATGTCGCCTCCCAATTCCACGGGCTGCGTCTTCAGGATAGACTTCGGTGCTCTGCCATCACGCCCTTTGCCTGCTGCAGGATCATCAAAGGTGACCCGCCTCGGCGACTGGGATCGAGTCTTCGACTTCGGCACGAATAAGCGTACGGGCCGACAGCAGGTACCACACTTCCGATCCCTTTGCTCCAGCAAGTCATTGTATTCGAAGGTGCCGCATCCTGCACATTTCGAGAACAATCGCGTCATCCTCGGCTTTCGCCGCCGCTAGAGACACCTGGATGTGAGGGTGGTGTCGGAACGGCGCCCCTCAAGCGCTCCGTGGAAGCACCGAGGTTGGGCGCGAGCTCACCAAAATGGTGCTCGAGCCCAAGTGGCTTGAGAGGAGGGAGGAGGGAGGAGGGAGGAGGGATAGGAGGGAGGCGGGAGGAGGGAAGGGGGGAGGGGGGAGGGAGGGGGGAGGGGGAGGAGGGAGGAGGTGAGGGGGAGGAGGGAGGAGGGAGGAGGAGGAGGGAGGAGGGAGGAGGGAGGAAGGAGGAGGGGGAGGGAGGAGGGAGGAGGGATGGAGGGAGGGAGGGGAGGGAGGGATGGGAGGTGGGGGGATGGAGGGAGGGAGGGAGGGAGGGAGGGAGAGGGAGGGAGGAGGGGAGGGAGGAGAGGAGGAGGAGGGTGGAGGTAGGAGGAGGAGGAGGAGGAGGAGGAGGAGGAGAGGGAGGAGGAGGGGTGGTAGGGGAGGAGGAAGGAGGAGGAGGAGGGGAGGCAGGAGGAGGAGGAGGAGGTAGGAGGAGGAGGAGGAGAGGAGGAGGGGGGAGGAGGAGGAGGTAGGATGAGGCGAGGAGGAGGAGGGGAGGGAGGAGGAGGTGCGAGGAGGAGG